TAGGTGAATGGTGAACACTTCATTTACTTATTATCAAAATTTCGTCAAACTCTATTGACATTTCGCCGCGAATCGGCTCAAAAAAAAAAATTGAATCAATAGTGAATATCAAATTTTTTTTTTAATTGGATAGACTTATAATAGATAAAGCCCAAATAACGACCCGTTGCAATACCAGGGTTTACTACTGTTCCTAAATAGAAGGGATTTCCGAAAGAACAGCAGTGGTCAACGTACGAGCAACGCTTAAAAGCACGGTTCCGTCAATCAAATGAAACTGAACGAATCTGACAATTATGGACTTATTTCTTGATCAAAGCCAAGTTTAAAATTTTGCAGAATGACAGCTCTATCAGGTCGACCAATCTTTTCCTATTTAATGTTGGACATTAGGCTGACCTTAACAAAAATCATAAAATTGATCCAGTGTCATAACATGTCTCTGCAGTACGCAAAGATCTATTAACACTGGTACCGTAGTGCTGAGTGGGATGAGATGAGAACGATGAACATGGAATATTTTCTGGAAGTACTGTAATGATTGTAATCCAAAATATGACGATTTCACTTGGGTGATTTAAAGCCAGGTAGTTGGTTTTTGTAGCTTGATTGTACACAATTGTACAAGCTAATGTGGTGCTTAAAATCGTAACTAGAGACGGCGTCATTGTTATATAGTCAAAGCTATAAAGTACATATGAAACTACTTCAGTCATCAGTGCCTGAAAATCCATTTATGTTAATAAGAGAAGAAATTCGAAAATCTGACATGATATACATAGCAACAATGAACCAGCATCTCAGTGAGTTAACTGTGAATCTTCTGAACAACAACCTGTTGTTCAGAAGAAAGGCTTCAGATTTTGGACCTTTCAAATAGAGTTTAATTATATTTTTATAAAAATTATGTAAAATATTTGAAAGTCTTTGATATATTTTAAGAACAATCAGTTATGTCATATTAAAAATATATTACAAAATTTGTTATTGGTTAATAAAAATCTGTTTGGAGATTAACTATTTCTGTAAATTAATAAAAACGAAACAAACTTCTTGTCGATCATCTATCTTTCCCAGTGCTTTCTTGAGTCGGAACGTAACTATTTTCAAAATAGTAGAATAAATGATGAATAAAAAATCAACATTATGAGCACTTGGTATATATTTATAGACTAATATAATTAGACAGCCTGTATATCTACGAAGTGGGACTTATTTTAAATTTATTAGAAAAGTGTGTTTTTTTTATTTTTGAGATACTTTTTGAAAATATGAAAAGTGTAGTTACTTGCTGATCACAAGTATTATACTCTGAGACTACATGGTAGAAATGTTAATAATTTTAAAAAATATTTTATTACTGTGTAGTCAGTTAAGCCTTTATTTTGATTTCTCTTTAAAGTAAACAGAAAGTACATTATATCTTCATTTTTTTCGCCTTTTACGTTGAATATGTCATTAAGTATGCACAGATTTTATCCTTTAATTATATCAAACTTTGTCTTACGATGTAGGTTTTTTTTCTAACACTAAAAGAAAAACTTTTTTCATTTGGAATAATAATAACTTTTTTATAATAAAAATCCATTTTATACAAAAAGCGTGCATAATTACTTATTAATTTATTAAGAAACTTAAAACAGTTTGCAGGTGGAAATAACTTTAGCAAAGTGTCAATAAAGTTAGTATCTAAAAAGGATACAAAAAGTATCCTTTTTAATTCGGACCAATTTACATATAATTTTTAATTATCTTTATTTTTGCAGTATGTGTATTTGTGACAGAATGTCGCATCCCTAAGACAATTGGCAGAAAAAGTATCTTTTGGTCACCTGCACAAAAACGTAAAAGTAGGATTAAAAAAATTCTTAAGCAACTTCAAGAAGGGGGCAGCGGGCAGTATTTGAATAAAAGTTAGTAGGCGAAGCAGATAAGAAAAAACCTTTAAGCCAATAAAGCATGCTGAAGAAGTCGTTGCAGATACAATAAAATGCGTAGCAACTCACAGCACAAACTCAAAGATACTTAGATACTCAGCATAATTAACAGTGAAACTTTTGTTTTAGTTATGTTTTCCATAAGATAAAAGTTAAAATAAAATAAATTACCGGAAGGTATGAGCAAAATAAGGACACATAAATAAACAAATTAAAAAGTTTATCTGCTCGCTGGATTACGTTATTTTATGGATATTTCGTTTAAATTTTTATTAAACAAAGTAAAGTAAAAGCACTCCCTTTTCGCTTATATGAAAATGCAAATTTCAATCAGTTGCATTAGTGGGCATTAGTGTAATGTAAAATATAATGTAGTAATAATTTTCTACTTAAGTTGTTTATTATTGTAACGCTGCGGCATTAAGTCCATATTTGCATGAAAATAATTCTGAGGTAAACCTGAGCGACTCTTGAAAGAACTTACCCGTCAACTTGAAAAATTTTTTAAACAAATATGCATATCCTTCGTGAAAGTTAGACATCGAATCAACAAACTGCAGCGAAACTTAAGCAGGGAAATACAAGCTTCCTCGCTTTCTACTACTAGATTTTTAATCTTATGTTAGAAAAAGTTTATATTTTGTATATATATTTTTTTTTGTTTTTTTTGTTTGGCAGTAGCGGTTTTTGTATAAAATTTAATTTTAGTTTGTATTGTGAGAACATTATTTATTAAAATAATCACGTGCTACCACAAATCCTAATTTTATCAATACAACTGACACTCACGTGTGTGTGTGTGCGCACACACACTCTTCTAACCACACGAATTTCTTCTATAAAATTTACAAATAAGCTTAGTAGCACTTATCCTGAAAGGATAAAAGTCTTCAGCGATTACTTTAAATACGTGTACGCGCATACTTAAACCTCCTCGCACACTGCAATCTGCTCACACATACACTCACACTTACAGAAAAGTAGCGCGGCATGTGGTTTTTAGTGCTGCCCGAAGATGTAATGGAGACCGAAACTTAGTAGCGCCATAGAGTGAACTACTGCCACACTTGCTCAGTCATGTTCGCAGCCACGCTCACTTTGAACGCGTACACACACAGCTAACGCTCACATACGTATTACATTCACACACTGCAACACACACTGTAACACATACTGTAACACACACTGTAACACATACTATCAAACACACTGACATACACACCTACGCATATGAACACATACACATGGGAAAGCATTAAAGTTTGCGGATTTCCGCTTATGCAGTTACAAGCTTTCGGCTTGTAATAATGAAAAAAGCCACGTTGTTGTTGTTGTTGTTGTTGTTGTTGTTGTGCGAATATTAGCTGAAATTTGAGGTACTTGTAATGGCAGTTTTAGTAGTTCTTCGGTTTCTAAAACGAAAAATGGCAGTCCCTGCACTTGTAAGTAACACCTTTCGCCATCGTATTGTACCGCGGTTTGTTTAATGGCATATTAGTTTCGTGCTCAAGGCCCCGCTCGCTGTCACATATAAACGGACTTGTAAAAATTAATACCCGTAATTCCTTATTTTGTTGCAAGTAAAGTGTGGAAGAAGTACGCGGGTGGCGTTGTTATTGCGAATAACGAATTTCTATTCATTTTTCAAAAACATTAACGTTCTATAAAAATTTCATATAGCCAAGTAATAAGCAGTCTTATGAGAGGTATTGAAAAATTCGAAAACCAAAGTAGGGGTATATTTCACCAAATTTGTTTCACTCGTAAATGAACCAGTCAAAGCGATTGAAATTAAATAACTCCAATAAATAGAATAAAGCAATTGGGACGACTTAACGTAAACCTCAAGATGTATAGAGTTTAGGTTTAACAATCACGTTAACACTGAAATCAAATCTCTTGGCTGATGTGGTGATCTCTTTATAGATCTGAGAATAGTTAGTAGCAGATCTGAGAATAATTAGTAGCAGTAATTTGGAACCAGATCCAGAGAAGTGAGTAGAAGGAGAAGCAATGCGTGCATTAAGAGCATCATATAATATTCGGTATGAATTGCTCTTTAACACTAAAATCAAATCTCTTGGCTGATGTGTGCTCTTTATAGATCTGTGAATAGTTAGTAGCAGATCTGAGAATAGTTAGTAGCAATAATTAGGAACCAGATCCAGAGAAGTGAGTAGAAGGAGAAGGAATGCGTGCATCAAGACCATCATATAATATTCGGTATGAATTGCTTTTTCTTTATTAAAATAAACAATGAATAAAATACCATATGAATACGAAAGTACGGAGATCACATCAATCTACTTAGCTGACATTTGAATTTGTCTTCGCATTGGTTAGCTACCACCGGTTACGATTACCATCTACTCAGCTGAGTGTTGATTTGTTTGTAGACTTCAAATTATTTTTCTTCGGATAGATTGGTTATCACCGGTTATATTTACCATCCACTCTACTGAGTTCTGATTTGATTGTGGGGCCAAGAAGATTTTTCTTCGCATTATTGGCTTTCTTTATAACTGATGAAGTCACGATTAAGATCCAATCTGTATAATGTTGATTTGATTCTAAAAAACAGACGATTTGTATTTTTTGGACACAACCTTTTGACAATTTTATCGACAAGATAGTAATTTTATGCAATTTTATCGGCTATGTTTTATGACAATTCTGCTTTTGTGCTTTAAAAATAGAAATTTTTACATATGGTAAAAACCTCAACATCTCGAGAAGTAAATTATATCAGCCTATAGCACAGAAAATGTGTATTGTTAAATCCTAATTAAGTCTGTTGTCGATCCACTTGGTAAATCGCAATCGCGTTCTGGAGTAAAGTAAGAGATTTAATCTTTATCCATAGCCACAGATAACACTTATATTTAATTCGAACACTTAAAACGGCATTCGAATTCCATTAACTAAACAATCATCAAAAATGATTATAGTGCCTTCTGATATATTTAAGGTATTATATATTTGTGCGAACATCACATTACGGCCATTCAAATACATTTAGTAAAACTTTTTATATGGTTTGTAGCTACTTTACTTTTTAAAAGTGAGAGAACCAAATAATTATTTCAGACATAACAAATTCAAAAAAATATTTTTTATAGACTATACTATATAGACTATAGACAAAGACACTAAACTTAGATTTAGTGTTACTAATAATTTACGGTTTACATGCAGAATTTACTAGTTGTAGAACTATTGGTTTCACAACCATTTCGACTACATCCATACATGTTTTCTCATCTGCTTTCCAAGCCTTTGCCTCAATGCCTTCAAGCACCTTATCAAAATAATTTTTTCCTGTAAAGACGAACATTTTTTTATTGTCTTTAGTAGTGCTTGAAAACATTATCCCGGCTGGTTTCTTGGACGGTTCGAATATAAATACATTTTCCTTTTGTTTTTCCTTAACACCCATTAAATTGTACAGCGTGGTTGTATCGGTTGTATCACCAATTTCAGACGACAAGTCTTGACACTCCACACCATTGGTTAACATATCCGGCACCGACCCTGACGCTGCGTTTTTAAGGCCTAACCCAAGTAAAGATTGTTTTATTTCTAAAAACTGTTTGTCATTTTCCATATTAGGGAACAACTTCAGTGGTTCGTTTGAAGTATTGAGACAACTCGATTTAACATAACCTTCACCGATACGATTGACGTGGATTTTCTCCTCATTCTTTTCCCTATCAGGAAATAACTTCAGTGGTTCATTTAAAGTATTGAAACAACTCGGTGTAACAGAACCTTTAGCGAAACGATTGACGTGGATTTTCTCCTCATTCTTTTCCATATTAGAGAATAACTTCAGTGGTTCATTTGAAGTGTTGAGCCAACTCGGTGTAACAGAACCTTCAGCGAAACGATTGACTTGGATTTTCTCTTCATTCTTTTCCATATCAGGGAATAACTTCAGTGGTTCGTTTGAAGTATTGAACCAGCTCGGTTTAACAGAACCTTCAGCGAAACGATTGACGTGGATTTTCTCCTCATTCTTTTCCATATCAGGGAATAACTTTAGTGGTTCGTTTGAAGTGTTGAACCATCTCGGTTTAACAGAACCTTCAGCGAAACGATTGACGTGGATTTTCTCCTCATTCTTTTCATTACCAACCTGGCTAAATGAAGGTACGGCTGAAGTTGTGGTTTTATGTTCCGTCTCCTGCTCATCGTCACATTTGACCTAAATGAAAGTGAAAAGTAATATATATAATATAAAAAAAATAAAAAATTATTATATTATGACAAGGGAACGCAATTTACTAATAGAATGGGTTTTGAAGAGGAGTGAAATGGAATAGCAAAATCTTAATTTTAATTAATTAAACTTTCTAAACCTTTTATGCTGTTTGAAGTATCCCTAAATATGTTACTCATCATCAATGATCGTCAAAAATATTTGTTGGTTTTGTAAGTCCAAGTATAATTGTTGGACCAAAAGTACTAAGCTCAGAACTTTATATGTCGCAAATTAAAAGTAATGACTTAGTGTGTTTTTTAACCAAATAAATAAATAACATATAATAAAAAATGTGTAAAATTAAGAAAATTATATTAATTTATAAAAGTAACTTACTGCACCACGTCCGTCCAATAATTGCATCTCTAACTTGTAACATTGGTTGCAAATGCTTGAGGCGTGTAACTTCATATCCTTTTGGCATATTTCGCACTTGTCATAGAACATTTTTTTTGTATTCATTTCTCAACGTAATACAACCAATATTGGTACTATATACTAAATCTATGGCTGTTACATATCATTTAATATTTGCAAATACTATAGTATTATCGTTTAGGTTTTGTTTACTTACCTCAACTTCGTTTTAGTTATTGTCCGCAAGTATCAGATTTCTTTCCGTCCTTCTAATCCAAGATGTATTTTTCAAACACAACCAAACGACAAAAATTAATACTAAATTTTCAGAAATGTTAAAATCAATGTAACTTTAATCAGGATTTATGCCTACTTTGTTAAAATAATTGGTCAGAAAGTAAAATTTTTCATTTCGATTTGTATTTGGAAAAATTCAACGAATGGCTCTGGAATTACAGAATATTCAAGTATCACTACATAAAAACACTTTCCAATAATAATTTTCATCACATTGTAACAGAAGTACTCACCAACTTATAGTATGGATAAATAAATTCACTTGAACTGATAAGTGATATACAGTTAATAAAAAAATATATGAAATTATCTTAAAGAAATATAAGTTTAAACATTTTTTTTACAATTATAACAAATGCACACTTTGTTATTTTGATTAAAGTTAAAGCGTAAATATTGTAGTTAAAGTTTATTTAAGATTCCATGGTATATTAGAACAACCGATATACGCAGAGATCTAAGGATCGACTCAGTAAAAAAATATATCAGAGACAGAGCCCTAAAATTATTCACAAAAGCTGATACGCTGCCCAACCCCGCCTTAACAAACCTCACGTCCGCCTCAGGACCCACAGGAAGATATGCTGTCCTAACAAAAATGAACGATTTTTTGAGAAAAACCGATTTATCACATTAAATTTATACCGCCAAGATTCATTTTGGCATTCCAAAAGCATGTGAGTGTGTTATATTATCAATCGGCAATGGATTAGTATCTCTCCCTAAAAATGTGACCAAAGTAGTGGTTCCTAATAATTATGACATTCTTGAGATTTTTATTATTCACAATACAATAATATTTTAAGTCGTTAGTTTAAATAAAGGGCGGTTTCTGTAGTTGTGACCTCCTCCCTTCACCCACTTTCAGATTATGCTTATATTGGTTTGTTGCTTTTTTTTGTCGGTAAGTGTTTTTTTTTGAAAAGCTATCAATCAGATGATATCAAAAGAGCTTCATGCTAATCGAAATTTTCAAATCTGTATATAAATAACCTGTCAAATATGTGATCTACATAGAAATACTGATTTCTGATAGGTCTTGTTTTCTTTTCAACGCATCTTAATTAATAGTTAAAGAGCAAAAACTCCATTGAAAATGACCAACCGAACCGAATCTACAGTAAAAATGGTGAAATTTTCACCGACTCTATTTTAATTAAAGCTTCACGTGGGATATAACAATATAACATACAATAATTAGTTAGTTAGTTAAGGTGGAGGGTGGACGAGTCCTTCTTAATTAGCTAGAAAGCCGTTTTGAATCTACAAAAACCTCGTAATAGTGGGTAGTAGATAGAAGGTCAAACTACAACCAGCCAGAGGCATTAACAAAGGCAAGAATCTGGCTAATGCTGATGCTGGAGATATATTCAAGTGAATTGAAGAATGGGGCCCCTAGACACTTATTCCCAGTTCTGTCCAGACCTGGATAAAGGCACAACAGGTGTTCTGGTGTCATTTCCTTATAAAGAATTATTTTTCTTAAATAATTCTAGTTAAAATTTTCAAATAACTTTGATTTTGATATAAGCACATCAATTTAGCTTTGAAAGTTTTAGAAGTCAAATGGCCTCAATTATGTGATTTAAATTTTTAACGACTTCCACATTTGTACCAAATAGTTCGGTCTCTTGCAGTATTTGAGCATTTAGCACAATAACCACATTAGCACGAATTTACACCTACTAAGAATTCGAATTGGAGCCAGAACGAAAGCAGTATGAGACGAAGGTTGTCATTCATTTGTACCTGCATGACCTTTTATGCCTTTGTATGCAATCAGTCAATTAAGACTTTAAAGGACATAAGCTTGCAATAGGAAGACAATACGCAAAATACACAATCGAAACAAAAATCCTGTGAAGTGCAAGACATTTACCAATACATTCGAGCAATTTCTGGGCATGCACAGGCTCTGAGTAAAATAAACAGGACAACCGTCAGAATTGTACTGAATAAACATGAGGTAAGCAACAAAAATATACATAGTTTGGTGCACTCGAGTACACAGAAGTGGAAATTGTGCTGCTGAATGCATACAAATAAGATTGAGGTATGCACGTACGGCACACAAGCACCGAAACCAGAGCTCAAAGCTCCCATCCAACTGCGTTCCCATCAGTACGACACTTTCAAACATCAACATTCAAAATGAATTGCATTAACAGATCCAGGCTAAGAGCCAAAAGCCATCAAATTCTGCAGCTAAGTGCATTTTTGCGTTATCAGTCAGCATTTTCAGCTGTGCTACTTATTTCATTATTATCCTTTGACGCATCCGCTTTGTGAGTCCTGCTGCATACCAACAATTTTCAGAAATACTTTCTACTGTGTTAACAATATTGTTTTAAACTAATGTCCTTGTGCGAGTATCCTTGAAGACAGTTAGCAAAAATTTCTTCCGACAACTTTTGTTTTTCTATTAAACTTTATTTTGCCAAAAAAAGTCTTATTGCGACTTGTTGTTGAGGGCGGCAAACATTGCTTAATATGTAGTAAAATTGTCAGTTAACAGGCACACGTCCTCCTCCAGCTTTTTCCGACGAAATTTCTGACATATTTTTGAAAACGTTTGCTTTCAATTTGTGCCACGTTTCCAGTTTAGCTGCTGTTAGACGTCAATGTTTCGCAGCCTTTTGTGTAATTTGTATCTAAAATATTCCTCGACAGTTTTTCACCTACTGCATTTTCCTTTCCGTTACATTTTCACTTTTATTGAGAGTGTTCTGTTTCTTTTTTATTGTTGTTTTGTTGTTTTGTTGTTGTATCTTTCTTTAGTTTTTCAGTCACGCATATGTTTGCTTGTATGACAGAGGGAAGCAATACCTCTCGCCAAAAATCCAAAATTCAAAAAATGTATTTGCAGTTCGGAACAGCGTCGAAAAAAGTTTCTAGTTGAGATAAAAAGACTGCAAAAAATACATATTGAAATAGAAAAAAAACTATCGTGAAATTTCTCGTTGAGCTTTGTTTATTGAAATGACGAGGCATGTAAACACGCTCCTTGCTCTGAATGTGTATTATACTAAAGTGGCTTCGAATTCCATGGAGCTAAGAGCAGATTTCATTGTATCTGTTGTCTGCTGTTTTTTTTTCATGCGAAAACTCTTCAATATTTGGACAAAGACAGTTATGTACATCGAATGCTCTAAGGCTGCAAAGTTCCACAATATAGTTGGAAATTAAATCTACTGAACGAAAGCCTTGTGTTAGGTTTAAAGTTACAAGTTTTGGAATTAACAGTAAAGTAAAATGCTTTAATTTCCAAAAAACAAAATTTTAATTAAATTTAGCAAAACTGTGTATAGATTTTTGTATTATAGGCAACTTAAAAATATAAAAATTAATTTTATAACTAATTAATTAATTCAATTATTCTACAGCTGATTTATGGTTTCGTTCTAATATAAACACAGCAAGTGAATTTGTTAATGAAACGTTCACAGTAAATTTACGAAATATGTGAACATAAAAGTCAAGTACGGCTTAGTTTCAATTGAGCAAGGAGCGCTGACTCTAAGCTTCAAATTTGACAGGGCACGAGTTAAATCTTTGATATTTATAGTCTCAAGAAAATTATTTACGAACAATTAAATACAAGAATTGGTCATACAAGAATTAACTGTATGGTCAGCCAAAAATTTAATTAATTAAAATATTATAAAATGAATTTTTGTTGTTTTAGTTTACTACTGTTCCAAAAACCTTTTTAAAAAAATTAATTTCAAAATCGACTATGACGAAAGAAAGTATTTTTTAATAGAGAGGGTTTTGAACAGTAGTGAATCGCAACATCAAAATTCTTATTTTGAATTAAATTTACTTCCCATTATCAGTGTTCTTACGGGAAATATTTCTTATATTTAATTACGCGTAAATATTTTTTAAAAAAGTACTATAACTTAAAAAAAAAAATTTCAAGATCAGTTACTAAGACTCTCAGCTCGAATGTTAAGAAAATAATTTTTTCCATACGCTAAATTTAGAGCATACATGCCTATACTACTGGCCATCATTCCACTCAAAAACAATAGTTCATTGCATCCTCCTACATAATTATATAAAATTAATAAATTAATTTAAATAAAAAATTATAATCAAAACAATAGGCTTCTGAAATTCCTATACTCATCCAAAGTTCGAATGTCCTCAGCCGCTGACATTATGGGTTTTATTTAAAAAGTGGCATGTCCTATGCTTCGTTAGGATTAATAAATAGCGCAAGAGATCAAACATTGTCTCAGTGTTTTATTCCTTAGGAACGAGTATTCCATTTATTTTTTATCTTATTCTAAGATAAAATCTTTAATATCAGAATCACCTTTTATATATTAGGGCTTTTTAAAAAGTAATTTATTTGAAGAATTATATTGACAAATAATCTTGAAATTAAGATTATGATTTAATTAATCTTTCATGCGATCGAATGTGACAAAAATGCTCAAAACGCAGCCTTAAGTCTATTACTTATGGAACCATTTTGAAGCTTCTATAACACGCATAATGTTTTAATTCTGAGCACTGGACAATCTTATGCGAGAACTATGGACATATTCAAATATGAAAATCGCACAATGGTTAGAGAATAATTGTTTCAGTTTTAACTTCTTTCTTCTCACTTTTATAACATTTAAAATATTCATTCAAGATATCTAAGACCATAGAGATATCTTCTCTTATTAAATTGTTTAAGTCCCTTAATTTTTATAAATCAAATGTCATTGACATTAGATATTACACAGGTATCGCAGCATCATGCATGATAATGATAACGATAGGTATTCCAATATCGTTTCTATTTGCGTTCCTAGGAAAGTTAAGTCCCATGTCTGGTTAATTCATTACTCCTACAATTTCTCACAGTTTCACTATGCCCCAGAACTCATATTAGACGTACACTGAAAACGGTTCAAATTTTATATTTTTTTGATATTAGTTTGATATTATTTTTGATATTCTATAAGAGCTACTTTTCTAATTATTTACACCTCTGCTTGCTAATCGCTATAGCGATAGTATGACAGATAGATGTACAGACTGTTTTAATCCTGTGCTTCAAGAAAATTTCAAAACAAAGTCTTTCGTTTATTTATAAGTTCAATTCTTCTTTTTTCCACGACTTCCATGTATTACATTTAATTCTA